TGCCTGGGTCCTCATCGGCCGCGTTGCCTCTGGGGCAGCAACCCGCTCCTTGGTCACAGTTCTGTGGGAAGGAATCGGAGTGCTTTTGTTTCTCCTCCTATGAGAAAAGCAATGCAGAAGGTGAGCACAGCCCCAGCTCCCACCTCAGCAATCTGTGCACACCCCAAAGTGGAGCATCCTCCCCCAGCTCCCGGCGCAGCGCTGCGCCCGCTCCTTTAACCTATTTTATTGGCGGCTGAAAGAAATTATAGGGGGAGAAATAAGGCTCTTGTCAGTTTTTGTGAAAATTAGGCCACAGCTGTCAGCCTGAAAGGGAAGCACGCATCTCAAAGGAAAGATCTTCGGAGACGCGTTATGCATCTCCCACCCCCTGCCCTTCCTCCAAACCCTTCACGTGGAAGAGGAAAGAGGTGAAAACCCGAAAGCATCATCATCATCACGGTTGTATGTGTGCATGCCCTGGGGGTCAGCAGCTGCTGGGGCTGAGTCACTGCACTCTGCAGCACACACAGGGTTTCTGCCCTGGCAGGCACGCTGTGGCCAGAGCCAAGGTTTCAGCCCTGCCAGGCATGTGCCATAGGAACACACGTTTGGGATCGCGCTGCCAGGCCCTGCTGCTGGTTTTAGTGTCAGTGGGTTCACAAATCAGAAGGGATGCTGTAGGCTTTGTGGGGTGTTTTGCTTTCCTGTGGGCTCAGCGGGGTGAGAGCATCCTGGAGGTGCTCAGCTCAGCACTTGAGAGCTCTGCAGCCTGAGGGTCACTGTAGGGTTCCTTGGGTGTGTGCTGGTGGGCATGTGCCCAGTGGCCTTCACCTGTAGCTGCCACGTCCATGTAAAGGCGCAGCCATGCCTTGCGCTGAGCAGCCCATTAACTTCCCAAATCCAGTTATTTTTAGCTGCCAGCCCATCCCGGACGACATCAGCAGTCGATCACCTTCTGTGTGAACTCTTTCTCCACGGTGCAGCACTGTTCCTTGCTCCCAGATGGAGCTGTGGTTATCAGGGGTCGAATGAGCAGCTGGAGGGTTGGAGATGTGCTTTGCAAACCACAGGTGACCTCTTCCAAGGGCATCGTTGTGTTGGAGCTCATCAAGGCATTGCACTGCCCGTGTTTGAGCATGGACTGCTCCTTGCCAAACCCTTCCACAAGGATTGCAGGCTGGTGCTTGCCATTGCTTTGCTCAGTGCCTGCTGTTCCTTGGCTCTTCCAGTCGCTGCGGGGTTCCCGAGTGGTGTGGCATCAAAGAGGAGCATCACAGGGAGGAAAGGGCTGAGGCTCCGTGCTTCATTTCCAAGTCCAACAACTTACCTCTAGCTCTGCGTGGTTCTGCCCATCTCCAGACCCAGCAAATGTAAGCAGAGAGGCTTCTGGGGAGGAACTCCAGAGATGCTCTGCTCCCCTGTGAGCAGAGGATCTCTCTGGATCCATTCCCATTGTAACCTCAGTCCTGGTGCTTGGGAGCAGCGAGCAGCTCCACGTGCACGGAGCAGGCTGGATTTCACCTGCTATTCCCAGGAAATGGGGATTGTGCAATCACACAGCGTGGTGTTATGGAGGCTCAGAGCAGAGCTGGCACGGCGGCGTGCAGCAGTTGTTGCACTAACGGCAGCAGGAGCACCGTGGGAGGGTTTTCTTGTTTGCAATGAAACACTCCACGCTTTTTCCTTTCGGAGCAGAAGCATCTCAGGGGTTGTCTGCAACTGCTCGAGATCCGGGGGCAGAGCCTGAGTGTCTCTTCCTGGCTGATCCTGCAGCAGAGCGTGCCGGGTGCTCCTCGTGCCGTGCTGTGCCAAGGGAGGAGAGCAGTACCTGGAGAAACAGGGCATCGGAGATGTAGCATCTGGGAACATCTCATGGTGGGGCACCAGCTGGGAAAAAAAAACTTTCCAGGTCTCCCCAAAATGCACTCGCAGCCTTTGATCTCATGCTCTTACTCCTGGTTGACCTGACGTCCCAAAAAGCAAGCCTTGATGCCCAGGGGCCTCCGTGGTGAGACATCAAGGAGAGTCCAAAAGCCACATGAAAACAGAGGCAGCTGGCACCAATCCTGCTTGCTGCTCTCACTGCCTCCCTGGCTCCAGCAGGCTCTGTGGCCATCCTGAGCGAGCCGAGACGGCTCCCAGCTCTACACTCATCCCCAGCCGGGCCGTGCTTTAGGATGTCCAGCAGATGCTTCCAAAGCACCCAGAAATCTCCCATGTGAAGCACGATGAATTTTTTAAAGCACGAGCCGTCAGTTGCAGTTGCCATGGTTTCCATTGCCCTGCAGCCAGATTCGGCAAAGGGGAGTGGGGAAGGAGGGGAATGGAGAGCTGTGATTTCCATCTGGGTAAATGGAAAGCCGTGATTTCCATCTGGATAAATGGAGAGCAGTGGTTTCCAATTCAGAAAAATGGAGGGCAGTGATTTCCTTCTGGATAAATGGAGAGCAGCGATTTCCATTTGGTTAAAGGGAGAGCCGTGATTTCCACCTGGAAAAATGGTGATTTCCATCTGCACCATGGCAGCGAGGGAAGGGGGATCCGGGAAACCACATCTTCACGACTTCCCCTTGTCCTCCTCCCTCTCGTCTCCCCATCACATTTCTCTCTGCACCCAAAGGCTGCTCCTCCTGGGATCCTAAGGGATCCTAAAGGATCCCAGCTGCGGAGCCGCCCGGGATGCTGCTTTTCCCGGCAGGGATAGGATGAGGATGAGAGCAAGGGTGGCAAGGAGCCTTGGAGGGGGAAAGGAAGCACAGGAAAAGGAGGGTGGGGAGGAAGCACAGAAGGGGCACTGCCTTGCTCTGGCACAGGCGGAGCTGACAGGTGGTCCCAAAGGGCTCCCCATCACCTTGGATGAGCCCAATTTCCAGGTGTTGTGCTGGCCCTGCTTGTGTAGACTTGTGGCTCTGATCCCAGGAGAGCTAGACTCCAGGGCTGCCCCACACCTTTTCTTCCCCTGGGGACAGGGTGGTGGCATTCATGGGGATGACATTTCAGGGCAATGAGCCGCGTCCCTCCGTTGTCACAGCACTGCGTAGGCAGCATCGCAGTTAGCAGCAGGGGGATGGAAGGGTGAGCTGCAGGCAGCCTGATCACCACCTGAGTTTTTAAGCTGTCGAGCTGCTAAAAAAAGCAAATCACACCTGGCTGTGTCTCTGCAGGAAAAGTGTCTGCCTGGGAAGTCGGTGGGAATCAGAGCAAAAGGTGATGGGGTGAGCCATAAGAGGGGAAGCTGAGGAGGAGGGAGCAGAGCTGCGAGTGCTGCTTGGTGCTCCCACAGCTGGGAGAGCAGGGCTTTGCGTCCTCCTCTGGGGCATTTATACGTGGCTATATATATCTGGGCTATCTTTATCCAGGCTGTGTATATTTGGGAATGGCTTGCAAGGGTTGGGAATGGCACTGGGGCTCCCAGCTCTGCCTGCAGCCCCATCCCACCCTCAGCACCCCCGGCATCTCAGCCACCTGTCCCAGCCCTGCCCTCCTCCAGGCACCGCGTTCCCCTCGCGCCGCTGGGATCCTCCTGGGGCCGTTCCTGTGCCACTCACTGGTGCTCAGCCTCAGCTGTCACAGCAGCTGTGGGGCCGGGCAGTTGTCCTCTCCAACCCACAGGTCTGGGGAGCAGTTTGGGGCAGGGATGTGGGGACACGGGGACAGCACAGCCCCAGCAGCACTGGAGTTTGCTGCAGAGCCAGCTCAGGGTCGGACCGCGGTGCCGGGTAGGTGCAGATACTCTGCACCAGCTGCTCCCTTCCTTGCTAATCAAAACCAGAAACATCCAGCTTCTATTTCTGGAAGGCGATCCCTCAGCTGCCCTAAAACACTGGGACTGGGGGCAGCAGTTCAGGGTCAGTTGGCACAGCAGCGGCATTGTCCCTTCTGCTCACAGCAGTGCCTGTTTGGGGCTGTTGCATTGCATGGAGCCACGGGGTGCTCTTGGGATGGGTTAACACAGCCCAGAAAGTGTTTGTCCCCAAGGACCCATTGTATTTTGGGGCACTGCTTTGGCATGCGTGGTCCCAGGGCGTCAGTGGAGCAGCAGGCACCCCGTAGCCAGAGCAGCTCCCACTTTGGCTGCAGGCACTGCAGGGCACGGGCTGCTCGCCCTTTCCCCACTGTGCTCCAGGAGCTCCATTGGCCGTGGGGAGGATGCTGAGCACATCTCCAGGGCTGCTCACCCATCCCCTTCCCTCCCTCACTGCCTCTCTCCCTCACACAGTCCCGTGCCCAGGCGGTGAGAACGCTTCATCCCATGAATGCAGCCCGGTTACGTAAGAATAATTGGGATAAATGAGCTTATTTATCACTGCCCGCTCCACTCTAACGCGGGCCAGGGCGAAGGCTGGCTTTGGTTACGTAAACCCCTCACAGAGCATCCCATTGTGAGGGCTGGGCAAGGAGCTCGACGGGACCCAGAGCTGGGAGCACCCCCTCTTTGGGGACAAAAACCCCATTTCTCAGTGCCCCGTCCACTTTGGGTGTCCCCACGGATGCTGGTTTGGGTGTCCTCATGCAAACCGCCCAGGAATGCGGGAGCTCAGAGCCATGCCGGAGAAAAACAGGAAATCCTAAAATCCAAACAAAGGAGGAAGAAAAAAAAAAAAATTAATAATGTGGGTTTTCAAGTTTTCGTCTCTCCAGTGTTTAAAACCTCGGGAATTCTGTTTGTGGAGCAGAACATTCCTGCTGTGGGGGCACAGCCACACTGCGGGCACCATACTGGGCTCTGCTCCAACCTCAGTTTCCCCAGTGTCCTGGGAGTCAAAGTGTGGAGCTCAGAGAGCAGTGGGGCAGCTCATTGGGTGGTAGAGCTTTGTCCATGGACTTTGGGGTTTTGGCTCCAGCGGTGCCCAACTGCAAGTTCCTGTTGGTTGTGCTCTCTCCCTACGCATCCCCCACTCTCGGATGCAGCCCCAAAAGCTGGACCAGCCTCGGGTGTCCCCACATGTCACCCCTGCAAGAAGGATGTGATGTGATCCTTCCCCTCTTGTTCTTGTTTTCCCCTCTGTGACACACAGGCAGCTCTGTCTACTTCTGAATGCAGAGAACATCTTCCACTCCATGGCGGACATCCTGCTGCGGGAGGAGGACCTCAAGTTTGCCTCCACCATGGTGCACACACTGAACACCATCCTGCTCACCTCCTCTGAGCTCTTCCAGCTGAGGAACCAGCTGAAGGACCTGAGGACACCGGTATGGGCACCAGGTTTCCCACTGGGGGATGACAAGGGTGGCAGGGAGCTGAGAGCTCAGAGCCCAAGGCTGGAGCTGCAGGGACCAAATTGCTCCATTATACAGATGGGGAAACTGAGGTGTAGGCAGGTCCCCATGGGGTGTAGGGAGTGGCTGGAGGATGTGCCCACCTCCTGCTGTTCCCCCCCTGCGCTGCAGGTTCTGTCCCCAGCCTGTAAGCTGATCACAGCCCCTGAGCCCCCCAGCAGCTGCCAGCTCCCTCCCTGCATGCTCACGTGGGTGACAGCAAGTGGGCGTCCCACCACTCTGCAGCTGTTCCCCCTGCAAAACACCACGGTGCCCAGAGCAGCTGCAGCCCACCAGTAGTGGAAGTGTCCAAGGCAGGACCCCAGAATTTCCATCTTCCACCCCAAAACCATCTTCCAAGGGCTCTGAGCAGCACTGGTGCTGGGCGGTGGGGAAATATCCCTTTGTGTTGTGGCAGAGCTGGGACCAGCACTCGCAGGGCTGGGTGTGCAGTGGGTGCTGGGAGCATGGGGTGCTCTGTGCCATGTCCCCATTGCATTTCATCACCCCCATTCCACCGTGGTTTCCTCCTTTCCCAGGAGAGCCGCAACCTCTTCTGCTGCCTGTACCGCTCCTGGTGCCACAACCCAGTGACCACCGTGTCCCTCTGCTTCCTCACCCAGAACTACAAGCACGCCTACGACCTCATCCAGAAGTTGTATCCTTTGGGCTTTTGCTGGCTGGGGTATCTGGGGGGCTCAGAGCAGCAGCTGGGGACCCTCACCTCACCAGGGGCTGTATCCCCGTGCCAGCCACGTGGCAGCGTGGTGACAGCACAGGGCAGTTTGCTCGGTGCCTGCCACCTCCCTTTCCCTTTTTTTTTGTTGTGGAGTGAGAAGAGGAAGGCAGTGGTGGCTGAGTGCTGACCCTGATCTGCCTTAGAGCAGGGGAGGCTCCCACACCTCCTTCCTCCCAGGAAGACGAGGCTGTGGCCTCCAGGACTGATGTCCAGTGACACGAGCAGAGCAGATGGTTTCTTTCCTTCTCCTTTTCCAGCTGCAGAACCCAGAGAAAGCCAAGCCCAGAGCATCCCAGGGGTCAGCAGTGCTGCCAGCTCACCTCCATTTGCTACAGGAGGCCAAACACTGATGTCCCAGCCATGCGTCCCTCCTGGGGGTGGCAGCTCCTTGGAGCTGCTGCTTGGCTCACTGCGAACATGCCGCAGGAAGGAGAGGTGCAGTCCAAGCCGCCTCCCTTCCCCAAAATCCTGGCTCCTGCCCCACTGGCTGGGCTGCAGCTCTGTTGGCTCTGCACGGGGCACTGCGGGGCCTTCCCTGAGCCCACAACGTGTCCTTGCTCTGCAGGCATTCTGGTGGAACGTAGAATCACAGAATCATTAAGGCTGGGAAAGACCCGAGTCCAAAGACCCCAAATCCAACCCCAGCCCACCCCCACCATTCCCACTGCCCACGTTCCTCAGTGCCACATCCCCACAGTTCTCAGACACCCCCAGGGATGGGGACTCTTCCCTCTCCCTGGGTAGCTGTGCCACTGCCTCACTGCTCTTTTGGAGCAGATGTTGTTCCTAACATCCACCCTGAACCTGCTCTGGCACAACTCAAGGACTTTACCTCCTGTAAACATGGCACAGGTTGAGTCGTGGAATCGTCTCTAAGTTGGAAAAGACCTTCAGGATCAATTCCAACCATCAGTCTGGCTTCCTGAGTCCTGTCCCCAAACCACATGCCATTGTGCCACAGTGCACATCCCCTGGGTACTTCCAGGGTTAGGGACTCCACTAGTGGAGTCACAATGAGACCCAGCACACACTGGGTCTGCACGTGGCAAGGCACAGTGCAGGAGGCAGACATTCCTATCCTTTCATAGTATTTAAAGGGGCTGTAAGAAGACAGGGAACAGACTGGTTATCAGGGCCTGTTGTGATGGGACAAGGGGAAGTGGTTTCAAACTAAAATGAGATTTACGCTGGAGCCAAGGAAGAAATTCTTTACACTCAGGGCAGTGAGGTGGTGGCACAGGCTGCACACAGAGCTGGTGCTGCCCCATCCCTGCACACAGCCAAGGTCAGGGAACGGGGCTGTGAGCGCTGATGGAGCTGTGGGTGTCCCTGCTCAGTGCAGGGACTGCGAGCAGATGGCCTTTAGGGTCCCTTCCAACTCAACCCATTCTGTGATTTGGGACCCCTCTGCCCCACACATCACTCTGCTACTGGGCCACCCCCTGCTGTGCTGCATCCTTAACAGCCACGCTCAGTGGGGACCTGGAGGTCACAGTGGATTTCCTCACCGAGGTGGATAAACTGGTGCAGCTCATCGAGTGCCCCATATTCACATGTAAGGCTCGGCCCCTTCCTTCCTCTCGGGTTTGTGCCGTGCACGGGGCGCTTGCTCTGCCAGCCCCTCCATCCCCTCCCCATGCTTCCCAGCAGCGCTGCGTGAGGAAATAGAGCAGAAGTTATCGGACTTCTCGCTGCTCAGCCCTCAGCTAGAGCTGCCCAATGTGGGTTATCAGAGCAAGTGGCCCTACAGAGTGATTGGGGGGGATTGGGGCATATGGCATGGACCTGTCACAACCCAGGGACACTGGTCCCCGAGGTCCACACCTCATTTCCTCCCATGTGAGACATCCGTGTGTGTTGGGTATGCACAGCTCTGAGTTCCTTGAGGGTTCCCCACCTGCTTATCTTAACCTCTAGATTGTGGGGTTGGGGACAGATGGGCATGGGAAGACATCAGAATGGTGGCAGCAGATGGGAGGTGAGGTGAGGGTCAGGCCCATAATGTTGGCTGGGGTCACCTACATCAGGAGCTGGACTTGGTGGTCCTTATGGGTCCCTTCCAACTTGGGGTATTCTTTGATCTCACGGCACGATCCCAAAGGGTGCAGGGAGTGACAAGTCCACGTGTTGCCAGGTGGCAGCCCTGCTGGCTCCTGCCTCGCTGGCTGGGCTGGCAGTGCCCAGGGAGCAGAGTGTTGGGCTGGGAGGTGCCATTGGGGAGGGATGCTGGGACCTCAGAGGTGCTCTCGGGGACACATGGAGGAGTTACTGCAACGGGATCGCTGGTGCAACACCCCTCGAAATTGCAGCCATCCCGGCAGGTTGGGAGGAACCAGGAACAGTGGAAGCTGGGAGCAGAGTGCTTCACCATCCCCTTCCTCTCCTTTTGCAGACCTGCGCCTGCAGCTGCTGGACGTGAAGAACAACCCCTACCTGATCAAGGCACTCTACGGGCTGCTGATGCTGCTGCCCCAGAGCAGTGCCTTCCAGCTGCTGTCCCACCGCCTGCAGTGCGTCCCCAACCCCGAGCTCATGCAGAGCGCGTAAGTGCGGCGGGGATGCGCCCGGCGGCTCTCGCTTGGGGTTTTTTTGTCTATATTTGGTAACCCTGGGAGGGCTGCGCCTCATCCGCAGGCATTTGGCATCGGGGATGGAAAATTTCACTTTGTGGGGTCGCTATGGAAACAGGCAGAGCCACGGAGGACGACGGAGCGAGGAGGCAGCTCCCAATGCGTCCCCCCTTCGTCCGGGCACCCAAAGGCGCTGTGACGCCTTGCCAGCAGGGATGGCTGTGCTGCCCAGGGGCAGCTCTGCGGCGATGGTGACGGGGATGGAGACGGCCCCCCGTGCCCCCCTGTGCTGCAGGATCAGGATTTCCACCCCCCATCCCTCTCCTTTTGGCACACTGGGGCTCCACTGCTGGGCTTTGGCCATCCAGCCCTGGCTAACAAGCAGGGCCGTGCGCTCGCCGCGATGAAACCTCCGGAAAAAAGGAGCGCTCCTGAGCTGCACGGCTTTATGAATCCGACCCCCACCAGCTCCACTGCTCTGCTGTCAGCTCATCCCCCGGGCTGGCTTTTATCCCTACCGCTGCAGGGCTGGAGCTGGTGCCCACCGCCCTGCTCCTAATTGGTGGGGCAGGGAGGGGGCCGTGTGTTGGCCCCCCCGCTGTGATCCCCCCTCCCTCTCCTCCCGCAGCAGCCGGGTTTTCAGAGCGATCCGAGCTGTCAGCCAGCTCGAGCATCTGATTAACGCTGACCTACATTCCTCCAAACACCGGAGGCTGCTTTCATAACGGTGAGCCCGGGGCAGCTGAGTGTGGTGGGGACGCCCCTTGTCCCCCCGCCCCACCGAAACATCAGAGAATTCGGGTTTCTTTCTCCTAAAACCAAAGAGAGGCAAGACGGGGCTCTTGCATCCTGGGGGTCCAGATGTGTGTGTCGTCTTCTTTATCCCGTCCTTCCCCTGCTCATCATAGAGTCACTAAGGTTGGAAGAGACCCCTCAGACAACCCAAGTTCGACCCCAGCCCACCCCCACTGTGCCCACTGACCACATCCCACGGCTCTGGGACATCCCAAGGCACAGTGACTCCCCCCCATCCTCGGGCAGCTGTGCCACTGCCTCACTGCTCTTCTGAAGGAAAACCTTTTCGCCAACACCCAGCCCTCTGGAACTGCATCTCCTGCCTCTGCAGGAGGGAACCACCTCTCTTAGAGGCTGCGCCCGTTGGCTCAGCACTGTGTGTTGGATGCCCACATCCCTTCTCTCCCTGCAGGGACGGCAGCAGGACGAGCGCAAGCTCCCGCAGGCCGGCATCCTCCACCATCGACTACACGGAGCTGCTGCAGCACTTTGACAAGGTCCAGAGCAAACACCTGGAAGTGCGGCACCAGCGAGCGGGGCGGGCAGAGCAGCCGGAGCGACGCGTCGTGCTCTGAGCACGGGGACAAGGGAACACGGACCAGGGCCTGGGGACAGCGGAAACGCCGGTGCTTTTAGGGCAGAGGGTGCGGGGGTTTTCCTCCTCTGTGTCAGTGTGGGGACCCCAGGCTGTGCCCGGCGTCGTGCTTGGAAGCTGCGGAAGGAGGGAGCAGGGAAGGCACGGTGTCTTCTCTTGCAATAGGGTGAGCAGACTTTGCTTCGCTAATGCCTTCCCCGTGACCGTCAGCTGAGTGCCCGGCCTCCTGCCAGCAGGACCGGAGGGGAAGAAACGCATGGGGAAGGGAAGGAGGGAGCAAAGTGGGTCCTCCCCACTGGGAAGGGAGCAGGGCAGCATCCCGGCACCCCGAGCCCCTCTTTCTTAGCCAGAGGCTCAGCTTCATCCCAGTGCCGGGCGGAGGAGAGCCCTCGCTCCGCGCATCCCTTCTTTGTTCCTATCCTAAGCTCCCTGCCATCAAATAAAAAGAACGATGCAGAGCAGCCTTGCTGTGCCTTCCCAGGGCTGCTCCATCCTTGTAGTGCTGGGGTTCCCAACCAGACCCATCCAGGCCCAGAAGCCAGAATCCTCCCCAGGCTGCATATGGGGTCCCTGCTGCGGCCCTGCCACGCTGGCCCTTAGGCTGGACCCCTTCCAGCGTTTCTCCACCCCAAGTGGGAAAAAGCAGCCGGAATTCTTCCCAGCCGCGCTCATGGAACCGCAGCGCAGTGACAGGCATTTTCCTGGCCCCAAAACAACCAGGGTGAAGCCAGCATCCAGGGACCATGCAGTGGGCGGCTGCGTTTTCGGGGTCTGATCTGCATTCCCGTCCCTCTCCCAGAGCATTTTGGGCCCTCACCTGATCCCGGGGAGGGGGGTGGAGGAATGCAGAGGGTTTTTATGGCCCCCAGCCTGTTTATGGCTCTGGCAGCGGGTTCCCCAGGCAGCCCCACTCCGAGCTGCTTTGGATGGGATCACGACATTCCTGGCATTCCCGGGAAAGGGCTTTCCAACCCCGGTCATGGCGGGTTAACTTTAAAAGCCGTCCCCTCCAGGATGGGGCAGCTGGGTTCTTCCAGCCCTCTGCCACTGCTTGGGGTGCAGAGGGAACGTTGGGACGCTGCCGTGTGTCACCTGCCACCACCACCCCTAAAGGGACAGCTTTACAGGGAGAAATTCCAGCCCTAATAGTTTCCTTGTGGATGGTTCTTGCCCAGTGCTGGCCGGAGGAGCAGTGCGGTGCCACTGGTGGCTTTGTGGCAGTAGGATCTTGTTGGCTGCGTGCTGTGACCGGGTTGCAGCTCGGGAGACCCCCCAGATCTCAGCTTGGGTTGAGGACTGTCCCACAGAGCCCCAACAGTTCCCCCAGCATCCCCCAAAGCACCCCTTGGGTTCCCGTGGTGTTACCCCAGAGTAGGTAGCTGCGTGCCCCTGCGCCTCCCGTCCTCAGCATCCCTTTGGATCCCAGTGCTCCACCCCCAGCGATCCCACAGTTGCTTCCTGGGGTCTCCATGCAGTGCAGCACTGCCCTTAGAGCATCCCAGAGCAACCCCATGTACCCCCATCCTTGGCATCCCCCAAGCATCTCTATGAGGCCCAGCACTGAATCCCCAAGAGTTGCATCCCCAGCCCCCCCCGGCGGCTCGGGGGGAATCTTCGGGGCCCCCAAAGCCTGGGTACCCCCTAAGCATCGCCATCCCCATCTCCCCCCATCCTTGGCCCCAGAGGATACTGCACCCCTGCAGCTGCTTTGCAGGGCTGCTCCAAACCCCAATGCACTGCCCTTGGGACACCCCCGCGTCTCCCCCGTACCTGCACCCCCGAGCATCCCTCGGAAACGCATTCCCAACTCAACCAACCCACTCGCTGCCCCAAAACCCCCCGCATCCCTCGGGTGCTCCGTCTGCCACCCTCCTCTCTTCTCCCCCTCCTCCCTCCCTCCCGAAACCTCAGCATCCCCAAACCCACCCACCCTCCCCTCCCTCCCCCAGACCCCGGGCAGCGCATGTGCCGCCGCAGATCCCGCCCCTCTCCGCCCCGCTCCGCCGCCGCCCCGGGCTCCGAGCTCCGCTCTCCGTTCTCCCATCCGTTCCTCTCCGTTCCTCCGCCGTCGGGGCCCGCTGAGCCCGGCGGGTGCCCTTGGAGGCGATGCCTTTCCCGGCCCCTCCGCGCCGCCCCGACCCCCCCGCCGCCCCCCGCCGCTGAGCCTGGCCCCGACGAGGCCTCCCCCGGCGGCGCCGCCCGCCCCGGGGCTGCCGCAGCGATGGAGACGGCGGAGAAGGAGTGCGGAGCCCTCGGTGGGCTCTTCCAGGCCATCATTAACGACATGAAGGTAGGGTCCCCCCCTCCCCAACCCCCCACTCCGAACCCGACTGTCGCCGGGCAGCGTTTCCCGTCCTCACCGGGGGGCGGCGGGCATGGGGAGAGAACCGGGAGCCGGGAGCCGGCACCGGGCGGCCGCCTGAGCCCAAACATCAACGCCGGATCGGGACCGGAGCCCCAGACCGGATTATCGGAGCTCTAAACCGAGAAGCGGAGCTCCGATATCAGCCCCGGATCGGTTACCGGAGCTCCATACCGGGCACCCTGAGCCCCAAACCGGGCATCCAAAGCTCCGAACCGGGCACCGGAGCCCCGTCATCAGCACCGGAGCTCCAAACCTAGCGCTCGGAGCCCCGACATCAGCCTTGGATCGGTACCGGAGCTCCATATCGGCACTCGGAGCCCCAAACCGGGTTAACGTAGCTCTAAATCGGGCACCTGGAGCTCCGAACCGAGAACGCTGATCCCGACATCAGCCCCTGATCTGTTACCGGAGCCCCATACCGGGCACCCGGACCCCGACATCAGCCCCGGATCGCTTACCGGAGCCCCGCAGCCCCCTACGGCGTTCACCGCACCGAGGGGAGCGCAAAGATTCACCCCCCCCCCCCCCCCCCCTCAGGTTCCCCCATCCCGTTTTACTGCTGGGCGTGTGGGGGAGGGATGAGGTGGGGGGGGAGGGGGGAGAAGGTTTATTTTTCTATATTTTTTTTCTATTTTTTTCAACGATTTTTGACTGCACGCTGCATCGGAGGGGGGAGGGGGGAATGGGGGCTCTTCCAAGTGCTGAGCTTAGCGGGTCCGGCGGTGCCCCCGCGTCGGGCTGCAGCTCCCGGAGGCAGAACCTCGTCCTCCTCGTCCTCCTCCTCCTCCTCCTCTTCTTCCTCCCGCTCGGCTCCTCACTGCAGCCCGGCCAGACAATGCTGTCATTGCCAGAACAGGGGAGGGGGATAAAAAGATAAATAAATAAATAAAAGCTTCCCTGAGAAAGGGATTAACCCTTTGGGGGCCGGTGGTGTCTGGGGAGGGGGGTGGTGGGAGAGAGCTCCCGAGGGAGGAAATCTCATTATTATTATTATTACAAGGGTGATGGGGTGATCCTTATGGGGCAGAAGGGGGTTTGGAGTCCCTGGCTCAGCCTGAGCTCTGAGCATGGATCGCCCTGTGCCTCAGTATCCCCGTTCTGCCCATGGGCTTAACCAGCCTGCAGCCACCATCCCCGTGCTGGTGACAGTAGGGACCCCAACTCTATGGGGCCGGGAGCTCCTCGCCGTGACAGCGAGCTGGATTCATTCCTAGGATGGGTGATCGTTTTTCCTTTTGGTGGAAAAGGCTGAAAAAAAGGAAGGAAAAAAGACAACGTGCTACGACAACAGCTCTGCTCGCACCAGGCACCATAGGGCCCTATGGGTGCTGCATCTCTGTCCCCAGTGTTGTCACCACGTGGGGTCCCGGTGGCCACAGGATGGGGATGGGTAATTGCAGCCAGCATTTGAACACAACGATGCTCCCACGTGGGGCCAAGGCCAAAGGATCTCATCTTGGTGGCAGCGGGGACATCAGTGGCTTTTTGGCACCGGTTGGTGGCTTCAGGGAGGAGGACAGTGGAGCCTCGTGATGGTCTCTGGGTTTCTTCCCAATGCCTTCCCCCTGCTGTGCAGCGTCCCCAGGTGACCTTGGCGTGTCCTTGTCCCCAGTGTTGCCCTTGTCTCCATCGTCCTCACCCCTGTCCTGGTGTCACCGAGGGATGGGGATGTGCCCTGTGGACGGGGCATGGAGGTGGGCATGGGGACGTGGTCCCCAGCCATGATGGCTGTCCCCGTGGGCCTACCAGAAGCAGAGAGATGTCACACACCGAGCAACACGCTCCACGGATGGCTTCCTTATGGACATGGGACTTTTGTAGCCTCCAAAGCACTGCTGGATCAGCCCTGCTCCCCACCCACACCAGCTGTCCCCAAATGAGACAGAGGTGCCACCAAGGCTCACCTCCAGGGTCTTTGCAAGCCCCAACGCCTCCATCGGGTGGTGCCCTCACCAGGACAGTGGGATGGCTTTGCCTGGATGGTGGCACTGGGACAAGCCTCACCGAGATGGTGGCATCAGAATGGCCTCGCCGGGGTGGTGACATTGGGCTGGCACCAGGACTTGCTGCATGGCGCTGGGATGACCTCACCGAGGTGGCACCAGGATTGACCTCACCAGGAGGACATTAGGACTGGCTTCTCTGGATGGTGGCACTGGGATGGGCTCGACGTGTGATGGCACCAGGATTAGCCTTGCTGGGATGGCACAGGGATGGCCTTACTGGGACCAATATGAGACCTCACTGGGACGGCTCCTCCTCGTGACAGTGGCACAGGAATGGCCTCATCGAGAGGACGCCGGGACTGGTTTTGCTGGGACGGCACTGGGATGCTTCCCCAGCACCGGCAACCTGTCCCTGTCCCTTCTGCTTCCTCCACCCCTGAGATGAAGGCATCACCGAGACTGGAACGGGGCAAACCAGGAAGGATGAGGGTGGTGGAGGGCAGGGGCCGTGCTCAGAGCCATCAGAGATGCCACCCCACGGGGGCAGCGTGGGGGCTCTGCCCGAGGCTCGGGGTCTGACCACTGCCTTCCCCTCTTGCAGAGCTCCTACCCCATCTGGGAGGACTTCAACTCGAAGGCCACCAAGCTGCACTCCCAGCTCAGGTGAGTGGTCTGGATGGTGCCACAGGCACCCTGCTGGTGGTGTCCCCATACCCAAGGGGTGACAGCAGCACTGAGCTCCATGTCCCTCTCCCTGCAGGACCACGGTGCTGGCTGCGGTCGCCTTCCTGGATGCCTTCCAGAAAGTGGCTGACATGGCCACCAACACTCGAGGTAGGGTCCCCCTGCGGGATGTCCCCGGATAGGATGTCCCTTGTGCTGTGGAGCGTCTCCCAGTGTGACAAATTGCACATCTCCCCTCCCTGCGAGATGTGGGGTCCCTCCGAGCACTGTGTCCCTGTGCAGGCTCTGCGTGTCACCGCTTGGTTGTGCCAAGCAGATGGTCCAGGGCTGTTTTGCAGACTGGCGGCATCCAGGGCCATCTGGAGCCATGCGGGAGGAGGAGGTGGAGGAGGAGGAGGAGGAGGAGGAGGAAGGCAGCAGCTTGAGCCACAAGCAGATTTGTCTCCAAACCCAGTGGCCCACTGCACTGGGGGGGATTAGGGCACTGGGGGATGGCAGGGAGACACCCAGCTCTGGGCAGGGGACAAAGTTTGGGGCAACCCCGCTGCAGTGGGATGAAGGCTGTAATGCCCCACTCGTGGCTGAGGATGTGGGGCTGGAGGTGTCCCTGCCTGTGGGGGTGTGGAATCGGATTAGGGGCAGGAGGAGAGCTGGGAGGAGGAGGATTAAGGGATGCCCTGCGTGTGAGGGCTGAGGGCTGTGCTGGGGGCGATGTGGAATCCCTGGCTGCCCGGGGGTCACCGCTTGGGGCTTTTGGGGCAGAGACTGCCCGGCCTGCGGGACGGGATCGCTGATGGCCACCGGGGTTTGCAGCAGTGCCACCGCGTGGCCGTCCTTAGGCTTCAGAATGAACGCGTCCCACCCATCAGCCCGGGGGGACAAACGGGCGAGTTCGCAAAGCAGAGTTAACGATCGAGGGGCCGGCCGGCCATTCATCTGGCGGGTTTGGCCTGCGAAAACGCCGCCCACCCCCATCCCGGTGCCCAAACGCGACCGTCCCCATCCCTGCGCTCAGCGGGGTCCCGTTCTCCCCCAAGGGGCCACGAGGGACATCGGCTCCGCGCTGACCCGTATGTGCATGCGGCACCGCAGCATCGAGGCCAAGCTCCGGCAGTTCACCAAGTAGGTGCCGCCATCGGGGATGTGAGGAGGCCGGGCTCAGCCCTCGCCACGCTCCCCTCCCTCCCCAGCCCCCCACTCCATCTTTTTTTCTTGTTTCCCCCCATCCCAGTGCCCTGATGGAGAGCCTGATCAACCCTTTGCAGGACAGAATTGAGGACTGGAAGAAAACTGCCAACCAGTTGGACAAGGACCACGCAAAAGGTTGGGATGGCGTGGCGTGGCATGGGATGAGACAAGAGGGGTGGATGAGTTGGGATGGGATAGAATGGAACAGGATGGGATGGGTTGGAATAGAATGGGGTAGGACATGATGGGATGGCATGCTGGGAAGGGATGGGATGAAATGGGATGTGGCAGGATGGGATGGGATGGAATGGTGTAGAATGGAATAGGATAGGATAGAATGGAATGGAGTGGGATGGGATGGGAGGGAATGGTATAAGTTGGAATGGAATGGGAAGTGATGGGATGGGATAGGATGGAATGAAATGGAATGATGGGATGGGATGGGATAGGATAGGATGTGATGGGATAGGATAGGATAGGATGTGATAGGATAGGATAGGATAGGATGGGATAGGATGGGACGGGAGGGATGGGATGGGACGGGATGGAATAGAATAGAATGGAATGGAATGGGATGTGATAGGATGGAATGGAATAGAAAGGAATGGGACGTGATGGGAGGGGGCTGCATAGGATGGAATGGAATGGGAAGTAATGGCATGGGATAGGATGGAATAGAATGGAATTAAATGGATTGGGACATGATGGGATGAGATAGGATGGAAGGGAATGAGACATGATGGGCTGGGATGAAATGGGATGGGAAGGAATGAAATGGAATTGAATGGGAAGTGATGAGAAGGAATGGGACAAGATGGGATGGAATAGAATGGAATGGGATGTGATGGGAGGGCGTGGGACAAGGTGGAATTGAATGGGACATGACGAGATGGGATGGGATAGGATTAAATGGAATGAAATGGGGTGGGAGAGGGTGGAGTGGAATAGAATGGATGTAATGGGGTGGAATAGAATGAGACATGACAAGATGGGATTGGATGGGACTGGACAGGACAGATCTGTGCCAGGAGGGATGCTTGGGTCCCACCCCATCACAGTGCCCTGTGCCCACAGAGTACAAGCGAGCCCGCCACGAGATCAAGAAGAAATCCTCTGACACACTCAAGCTGCAGAAGAAGGCTCGTAAGGGTCAGCTGGGTGAGGGTTTGGGGTGGGGGTGCGGGGGGACCTTGGCTGTCGTTTCACACGTTCTCTCTCTGTCTCCTTCTCTTTTCCTCCCCTCCACATCCTTCCCGCAGAGCTGCTGGGTAAGTGAAGCGCTGCCCCCTCCCCGGCCCCACTCTGCTTCCTTATCTGTGTCTCCCCTTGGGACTGGGTGAAGCCAAACCCTCCCCCATCCCCAGGTTTCCCCCTTTGCTGAGGGCTGTTCCATCTGTCTGTCCGTCTGTCCGTCCGTCTGTCCATCCGTCCAGCCCTGCTTTTAGCCTAGCTCAGCTCACGGCCCCTCGGTGACATCCCCATCCGTGGGGACGGTACCCCATCCGTCCGCAGCTCAGTAGGGGCTCATCCGTGGGGATATGGGGCTGATGTCACCTCATTCCCCGCAGGGAAAGGGGACCTGCAGCCCCAGCTGGACAACGCGCTGCAGGACGTCAATGACATGTACCTGCTGCTGGAGGAGACGGAGAAGCAGGCGGTGCGCAAGGCGCTCATTGAGGAGCGGGGCCGCTTCTGCACCTTCATCACCTTCCTGCAGCCTGTGGTGGTGAGTCCTGGGATCCCGCAGGGGTGCTGGGGTCCCCATGTCACCTGGGAGGCTGACGCTGTCTCACTTGTCCGGCTGCAGAACGGGGAGCTCACCATGCTGGGGGAGATCACCCACTTGCAGGGCATCATCGACGACCTGGTGGTGCTCACCGCCGAGCCCCACAAGCTGCCCCCTGCCAGTGAGCAGGTCAGTGTGTGGGGTACTCAGGGTTATGGGGGGTGAGTGCCACCTGGGGGGCTCCAACCCCTCCTTGCCACAGGTGATCAAGGACCTGAAGGGCTCCGACTACAGTTGGTCCTACCAGACCCCTCCATCGTCGCCCAGCAGCTCCAGCTCCCGCAAATCGAGCATGTGCAGGTGTGTCGTTCACCCTGGAGCCAAATGGTGGCCCTCGGGTCCCCAGTAGCACAGAGGAACTGGTCTTGGGGCAGGGAGAAGGATGGGCATGGGGCAGTAGTGTTGGGGAGATGGGGATGGGTTGGTGGCCAAGTGCATGCCCCCTCCCTGGCTTTTGGGGAAGATGTAGGGTGCATGGGGCTCACCAGCATGTCCCCTGTCCCCATCCCCGGGGTGGCACCCTCGTTCCTCGTTTCCCCAGCCATGCTCTGTCCTCGAGTGGGATGATGGGGACGCATTGCCTGCTCTGTCCCCACGGACGCACGTGCCAAACCTGTGTCTCAAACTGTCCTTTCCTTCCTTTGTCCTCCTGCTGCCCCTCGCGCCCCGCGTGCCCCCCAGCAGTGTCAGCAGTGCCAAGGGTGGTCTCCCGTGGCCCGGGGGGGCTCAGACCTGCTCACCCAGCTCCACCTATCGCTACCGCAGCCTGGCCCAGCCGGCCAGCGCCGGCACGCGCCTCTCCAGCGTCTCCTCGCACGACTCCGGCTTCATCTCCCAGGATGCTGCCTACTCCAAACCGCCCTCCCCGATGCCCTCAGACATCACCAGCCAGGTACAGTGGGCACGGAAGGGGATGATGCTCCTGGGCCTCGGTTTCCCCATCTGTGGAATGGGCACCAGTTCTCAGCCCCATGTCGAGAAAACAGACTGTTTCCAAATTGCCTCAACCTTTTAATGAGCCGATTGGTAGCATCCCCAGAAAAGTGCTTTCCCTTCACCCTGCAACCTCCCTGGTACCAAGGATGCTCCAGGGACCCGGGTGGTGCTGATGTTGCCAGAGGTGCAGCTCTATGGCACCGGCTCACCGGCTCTGTTCTCTCCTCCTGCACTCTCTGCTGTTCCTGGATTGTTGGGCATGGCAGAAGTCCTCCAGCTCAGCGTCCTCAGAGGCCTCAGAGACGTGCCAGTCGGTCAGCGAGTGCAGCTCCCCCACCTCGGTGAGTCCTCACTCTCTCAGAGCACAGCAGTGGAGACTTCATCATCCTCCTCTTCCTCTCCTCCCCAAGAGGCGTTCCCCCATGGGGCAGAGCATCCCAGGCCGGTGCCACCCCCAGCTTGAAGGACGAATGCCAAAAGGTCCCCAGACTTACGCCTCCCTATTCCCCACACCCCGTTTTCCCCACTGTTGCCTTGTGGTTCGCAGGATTGGTCCAAGGCCAGCCCCTATGACCAGCCCGTGGTCAGCACCCTACAGCGACGAAAGGACCGCGTGGAGCACCTGCGGGAAGCCGAGATGGGCTCAGCCAGCGGCGCGTACCCGGCCATGGGCAGCGACGATGCTCCCAGGCCCCGAATGTCACCGGCCACCATTGCAGCCAAGGTAGTGGTTGTGGGGATGGGTGGTGGGGCCCGAGGATTCCCTTGGGGTGCTGACAATCCTTGCCCCCACAGCATGGCGAGGAGGTGTCCCCCGCCGCCAGCGACCTGGCCATGGTGCTCACACGGGGGCTGAGCCTGGAGCACCAGAAGAGCAGCCGGGACTCGCTGCAGTACTCCAGTGGCTACAGCACTCAGACCACTACCCCATCTTGCTCCGAGGACACCATCCCTTCCCAAGGTACTCAGTGGGGCATCCCATATACCATCCCTTCCCAAGGTACTCAGTGGGGCATCCCATACACCATCCCTTCCCAAGGTACTCAGTGGGGCATCCCATACACCATCCCTTTCCAAGGTACTCAGTGGGGCATCCCATACACCATCCCTTCCAAGGTACTCAGTGGGGCATCCCATACACTATCCCTTCCAAGGTACTCAGTGGGGCATCCCATATACCATCCCTTCCAAGGTACTCAGTGGGGCATCCCATACACCATCCCTTCCAAGGTGCTCAGTGGGGCATCCCATACACCATCCCTTTCCAAGGTACTCAACAAGGCATCCCATACACCATCCCTTCCCAAGGTACTCAGTGGGGCATCCCATACACCATCCCTTCCCAAGGTACTCAGTGGGGCATCCCATACACCATCCCTTCCCAGGTACTCAACAGGACATCCCACAGAGGGTGGGAGGAGGCGGAGGCAGCTTTCCATGGCACCGTTGACACCTGTGGGCACTGAGCTGATGCCTTCTCCATGTTTCATATGCCCACAGCACTGTTCCCACCCAGTCATTCCACTCCCATTGCAAAGCATTTCACATTTCCCAAGTGAGAGTGTGTCAATCCCGCTGGCCCTGCATGGGACGGGGTGCCCTGGTTGTGTTGAAGGATTGGGGTGCGTTGCATTGTTGCTGGGATTACAGCCTGGAGTGGGATGCTGTGGGCTGGTGGCCACAATGGAGAACTGCTGGTGTAGGATCAGGCTGTGGGTGTGGGTTTAGGGCCAGTGCTGGGCAAACTGGGATGTGCGTGTTGGGATCTCGGTGTGTGCAGTGTCGTAGCACGCAGGAAAGGAAACAACAGGTTGCACTGAGAATTGTGTGGGGGTGATGGTGTGGTGTAATGGTGGTGATGATGGCCAGTGGTTGGGATGGCGCAAAGTGATGTGGTCAGAGGCTGAGGAACCACTGAGACACTTGGGGTTGGGTTGGCTGCGAGCGTGTTGTGATGACAGCGATTGGGGC